ATATCACAGTTTTAATTTATACCGTGATATAATTTTCAAGATACATTCTAGCAAGAAGATGATTTTCGGATTGTAGATAGATGAGATGCAAATTGAACGCTGCTTCCTTTCTTAGATCCAAAAGATTCGCATGCTGTTTAACTAAATCTCCTGGATTTTCTTTCAGGACCAACTTATAGAAATGAATCGCAGATGGTAATAAACCGATTTGATGAAATGCCCGTGCCATGTTATAATAAGTTTCTTGTTGACCTTCTTCACCACGTAATTGCATGTATTTTTTGAAGAAGGCTAGTGCTATGTACAAAGATAAAAATGAAGATTAAAAGATTTAAAAAAGATATATGTGTTACAGTATATATAATATAATATAATATATATATATATAATTATTACATGTATATATTATACTATTATTTAAATGTAAACTGAATTATGACACATGCACGCGCGAGATTTAAAATCAATTCTTATCTTATTGAACTATATATATATATATATATATAGAATACATACCTTGAATTACTAGCTGATTCTTCTTAGCTGACATCTTTTGACATGCCATATGTAATTGCGTCACGCCTATTAACAATGCTAACAATGCACTAGGTGCTACTTTAAAAAGAGACATATAACCGTTTAGAGCATATTTGTAAGTTCCCGAAACAAGACAGTTGTTTGCATGCATAATATGTAAATATGAAAATACGTCTCTTCCAAGTAATCGCATTATAAATCTGTTGTGTCTCAAATCTTCTGCTCTTTGAATAATTATATTTAACAAGTTCCATGAATTGGACCTTTGACAGACACGTACGAATTCTCGGACAATATTGTAACCGTAGAACGAATCCTTATTATGTATGCAAGAAACCAAACACAAAAAGATAATATGAGAGTCTCTATTTTTAAATCTTTTTGATGTCAGAGCAGTGAAACATAATCTTTGAAGGAAACCATACTTGTTTAATTTATACGCTAGTTTACACATTTGTAGGAAAAGTAGAAATTCATTTTTTTCGCTTGGTCTTGCGTTAGTGGTGAACGTTGGCGCATTTTCATCTTCCAACTTTTCTCCGCATGATAAACGACGAAGTTGTAGGCTCTCAAGCCGTTGCCGAACACCCGTTGCGCGTGCCAATGCATTTAATTCAACTTTTCTTCTTATATTAACACAATGTCGTGAGAAAAGTAACATTCCCGAGGAAAAGTATTCCTCGTATCTTTCAATTTTAAAAAGTAGCAGCGTTCTTTGATACAGAACGTCAGAGTCTAATGTATCGGATTCGGGATCTTGGTAGAGAACTTGTATCGCCTTATCATAACGTTCCGACTTTTTATAAAGTTTAGCTAAAGCTAATCTTGCGCCCAAATGCTGTGGTGACAACTTTCGAACAGCTTCGTAAGATTCTATAGCTTTATTCACATCATTACAACCAACCCAACATTCCGCATGTCTCAGCCAAACTGCAGCCAAACTAAAATTCGAGCTTTTAACTAACGGATCCAACAAAATCATGGCGCGATGAAATTCTTTCTTGCCCATCAGTGCTTCTGCTACATCTAAAAAGAGATCTCCAGAAATCTCTGGATTTTCGCGCATGTAAAAGTTTGGTAATAATTTTCCAGCTATCGAAATGTAATCCAATTCGATGAGAATTATGAGAAATTTTGCCTTTAAGTCAACAACCACATTATCTGGTACATCGCAAGACTCTATTTCGTCACTTTTTTGGCTTCTCGATGTCGGAGACGTAGCTTTCCCTTTTGCATTACTGCACTCTTCTTCCTTGTCGGATTTTGTATCATTAACTGCTGTTCTTTCTTCTTTCTCCTCATTCTTCTTATATCGTATCTGAATATTTGTATACTTTACCAATATATCTAAACATCTCTGAAATTGCTTTAGTGCTATTAATAATTCAGTCATGATATTAACTTCTTCTAATGTAATGAGATCAGGACATTTGGCAAAGATAGTCTCCACTGCTTCTAATGCTTGTTCATTGTTATCTTCCTGCATATAACGTTTGGCTAACATCTTTGCATATTTCATTATATATTCACCATCCTCGGCTTCCAATTGATGAATCAGCTTTGTATACCCCCGCAAGTATGCTTTTTTATCTCCATTTTGTTCTTGAAGCTGTGCTCGTGTTTCGTATAAACTTATGTCCTTTGGACTGGCTTGAATCGCTTTAGAGTAACATGTTATCGCTTGCTTTATATCGCCGCTTTCCAATGACAGGTTAGCCAATCTTACCCACTGATCAGCATCTTTAGGACTAAGATGCGCAGCAATTAAAGCAAATTGCAACGACTTTTCTGGTTGATCATTTTCATATATCATAGCTAACGTCTGAAACGGTTCTGGAGCGCTTGGTACTTGTCTAAGAAATAATTAGTAAGTGTTAAGGAGATTGTTACGTAAAAATTTTAATCAAACGTATGTCAATGTGATACATTAAGACAACTTGCCTAATGATCTCCATGCATATTTTAGCTGCTAAATCTACCTCTCCCTTTGCGAATCTTAAATTTGCCTCTCCCATAAGTCCTTGCAAAACTGGTGGTAAAACGCGCCTTTTCTTTTTTTGACGCACATTAATTGTTTTGTGCTGCTTTTGTTCCACAATCTTTTGTACAGTAACATGATCAAATCCAATTGTTGCTCTAAAAATAGCATCACAAATGTGAATTTCATGATTGTCAAAATAATTAAATAATATATACACTGCCATCGAAAAGTTTCCGGACATGGAACTTAAAATTGCATAATATTCAGGTCACTGTAACTCGGTAAAAAATCATTGCAGACAAAAAAATAAAAAGCATGTTAAAGTATAAGTTTCAAGCTTTAAAATGCTGTTTTATTTTTTTGTCTGTGATGATTTTTTACCGAGTTACAGTGACCTGAATATTATGCAATTTTAAGTTCCATATCCGGAAACTTTTCGATGGCAGTGTGTATATATATATATAACCCATACCTGGAGATATCATTTTCTATCATCTCTAAATCTGTATCTTGATCCATTCTGGACGAATACTCACTGAACGTTAATTCGCCATTTAAAAACTGCTTTGTTAGCTGATCTTCCTCGTCGGTAGTTAACAACATATCTTGATCTTCTATGTCCATGTTATCCTTGTTGAAATTACATGACAGAGAGAATGTAGAATTTGGAATAACATCTGTTACGTCTCTTATCTGTAATGCCTTTGCTTCGACAAATTCATTCAAATCCATATCCATTGAATTAATAGCACTTTCATCCAATTCTTCTATTATCACTGGTGCTACATTACTATTCCTACTAACAGCCAGGCTGTCATCGGCAGTTGATTTTTCAAGTTGTACTTCCATTGCAACCATATCCATGCTGATTTTGTTTTCTTTATTTGCGTTACATTCCATGATTGTTTCACTATGTATACACTTCTTCAATTTTATATTTACATTACATAAGATATTTCTAATAATTTATAAGTAAACTTTGAAACTTTCATTAACAGTACTACAACCATGTAGTATTGTTATCGTAAAATTAACTTTGCTATCGCTACATATGTATGGTATACCAGAAAATTCATTGGTAAATGTTAAGAAGACCCCGGTCCACTCAGATTTTAAAAATACATTCATTCGACGCGTTTTTCCACGAAATAAACAAATCTGGCAGAAAAAAGTGTCGACTTGTCCCACGAACCGAGATATTAAGCGTTAAAGTTGACGACTTGAAGTTAGAAAATCTGTCACAGCTACTGTGAAATTGTAAACCATGGCTGCTTTCCTTTTAGGAGACAGTCGACACAAGTCGACACAAGTGTCATTCTATCTTTGTCACTCTCTGAATGTCAAGAAGGAAAGAACGATGCTTATGTCGATTTATATCATCAAATGGAAAGCAGTGTATGTAGACAATGGGGTATGTGGACAGCAGCACTTGGGTTTGGGGCGGCGGCGTAGCTGTCCCGTGCGCGTGCGAACCTGAGCTCTAACTGTCCACACACCCCACTGTTCACATGGGTTAGAACTCATAATTTGTTTGAAGCAATGAATTTGTATTTTAGAACAGATTTCCTAACCTGCATAATCGTCAACTTTAACTTAAAATATCTCGGTTCGCGGGGCAGAGCGACATTTTTTTCTTGTAGATTCTTCATTTTCATAAGAAAATACACACATCGATTGAGTATATTTTTATCAAAATTTGAGTGGACCGGGGTCTTCTTAACATTTACCAAATTCATAAACGATCGAACGATAAAACAAGTATAAATATATATTTACCTGCTGTAGAATTTCTTTGTACGAGATATACGAAAGAAAAATAGAAAAATTATACGTAATCACGCACAAATATTGCTCAATTGCTAATCAAGCTCAACGGCTCAATCTGTTTTTAACTAGACTCTAGTTAATATTTTAGTTACTAGAGATACTATAACAAGAGATTCGACAACGAGCCGTTATGGAGTAAAACCGGATATCGGATATGACGTTTTTGATGGCGGTTTATTTTGATTGTTGAATAAATGCAAGAATACGATATATATAATTTCATTTGAAGTTATTGATGTTTTTCATTTAGGAATGTGAATAATGAATATTAAAACACAATATATTTAAAAAAGGCTTACTAACTATTTCATCAGTTTTCCCATATAAGGTTAGGTAATATGAATTGAGATTATTAAGGAATTATATATTATTATATGTTATATACACATGTTATGTTTTATATATCTAAATATATACATTATGTATTATTATAAATATAATTTAAGTATTGTATTTAGACTCGTAGAAAAATATAAGCAAATTATATAAAATAATACGTTGCAATATTCATAAAAAATATGTGAACAATTTGTTTTTTCTCATTAATTTTTTAATATAATTTTTATGTTAAAACAATTGTTTATTATTTATTTCTTGTCGTTTATATTTACTTTTGTGCAATTTTGTATAATTTGATTGAAAAAAATGTGTTGATCTGATTGCCCGAGGCCAAAATTTGTCATTTTAATTATAGTTGTGTCTCATATCCTATGTGTAAGGATGAAATTCAATTTCTTTAATAGTTGGATGTATATCAGACGATGGTATGATCTAAAATAAAGATTCATTAGAGACATAAATCTAAATATTATAGATTTATCAGAAATATTTATCAGAGAAAGTACGCAAGCAATGAAAGTGAAAGTAGCATACGAATAACAGGAAATAAGAATAAAAAAGAGGAATGTTAAACTTTTTTTTTATAAGGAAATTAATTAATTTTATTTTATATATGTGTATGCATTACTATACTTTTGCTTGCACGTATTGCATTTTTATTACATGGAGTTATCGCGCGCGAACAATTTTTCAATTTAAATGCTATAAACCTTTTAATAATTTTTTCTTTCAAATTATGGCAGGCAGGTAGAGAAAAAGTACTTTGGTTATATAATTTTATAAAGATTTTATAAAGAATTGTTTCAGATTTACATGTTTTTGTACTCGAATACGAGGATAAAAAGTCTTAAATATTTTTGCCATTTGAAGAAAAAAGTTAAACGTGACAGGATTTACAAAAAATAAAGCATTTACGTTTTTACATCTGAGACGTGTTAAGGCACTGTAATAATAATTATTTGACTGTATTGATCCTGTTGCATTTATACAAGTATTGCATACAATTTGATTTTTCATAATATTGGCCATTAAATATCCGGCAACATAATAAATTTTTTTTAATTCTAATTTACTGAAAACAATTTTTTCTGGCATTCTATTAAATACTTGTACTTGTTCAAATTTGCTTAAAGACTTGCTGTTTTCGATTAAAATATCTAAAAATTCTGAAAAAAATTCTCTATCATCAGTTTCGTAATTACTATTGGATATACTCTTCATGAACTGAGAAATACTTATCAATTTTAAATTGTTTTTAAATTGAAATGCATTCGGAATTACGTTTTTTAATCTTATTACAGAAAATAAGTTCTCGATGCAGTCTTGCGAAAGACGCGAAGGTAAAAAAGTAATTAAAACCTCTGTCACGCAATAAAAGTTAATTGAAGGATGGTGGTTGTAGATATTATATCACAGCTGTTTGAAAAGGCTTCCAATTTCCATTCTTTTCTACTTTTAAGCCTTTGAAAAGTTTAATTACTTCATTTAGAAAAGCAATTGTTTCTTCAAATTTTTCCATGCAACTCAATCCTAAAGCTAAATACAAATTTCTTCCGCTCATTGTTCGAAACCATCGAGCAATAAATTTTAAAAACCAAGCAGTCGTTATCATGGCATCGTTTGAGTTTGCTAACAATTCAAGAGCTGTCCCTACTTGATCGCTGAATACTGTTGTAGCAGTATTAACTTTCATTTTTTGAAAATGATTTTTTCCAGATAAATATTCAGATCGCAACTTAGGAGCTAACTTTATATCACAGTTTTCGTCAGCAATAAGAACAGCGTTTAAATGACTACAATTAGCTACGTTTGTAGGTAATGCATACTTATTAACAAAATAATATGGAATGGTTATTGTTTCATTATTTATAAAGCCAGTTTTAATATTTTTTAAAGCATGAGGTACGTCCGAATAAAAGTACAAAAGCCTATCATTAGAGCAAGGATGCTTACAACTATTTTGAATTATAACATTTGAAACTTGTATTCCAAACGCTCTCCACATTGCTTGATTGCTTGGTCCCATATCCGAAATGACATTATGAACAATTAAACCAATTTCCTCAGCTTTTTTTATAATCGCTTCAACTATAGGTTTTAATTTTTCACCGTTGACTTTATTACCAATAAAATAATATGCAACCACTTGTTTCCATCTCGAAGCAATTTCGGTTAATATAAAAACGAGGCTATGGGTAGCAATAATACTTGTATCATGATCTGGCAATGTAATGTTGCCAATGATCGTGTTTGTTGATACATCATAAAAAGTACCAGCGAAAATACTCATCTCATCGAGCACTAATGTGCAATCTTTATCAATTTTTTTCTCGAACCCAGAAATTTTAATTTTCATAAATTCAAAAACTTCGTTAATTATCCCACATTCGAATTTAAGATTTTCTAACTTCCTACTCAAGGTGCAAAGAGAAGGAAGAGGGAAATTTGCTTTTAACAATTCCTCGTAACCCACAGTACCACATGCAAATTTTAATCTGTAAGCTTTAATCAACGTACTATTGCACCATTTTGGTATTTTTTTGTACTTTGCAGACAACAAGCATAATTGATCTTCATTGAAAATCTTATTTATATTTGAACTTATTTTATTGTAACGTACTTCAGCTTGAAGCCTCTTGATTTTTTTTTCGCCTGTTGTAATTTTTTCTTCATTTGCAGTCTTAAGCGTTCACTTTTTTTCCAAAGCATTTCCAATTTCTCCAAACGTTGTAAAACACATGGATCTGAAGTTTCTGTTCTATTAGACAGAATGCCTAATACATCATTTTTTTCTTCTTCGGTGATATCTTCTTCATTGATTTCCATTTCTTCTTCCATTTCATTTGCAGCATTTTCAAACATATCAGTCTCTGCAGCTTCGGTCATTGTGTTCTGCCTTGTTATAGATGTTGGCAAATTCTCACCGAATATTGTTGGAACTGCATCAGATTTTAATCTGTGTGAGCCATCTTTTCTCGTCATCCACATATGAGGGACAAAATGGACCTGCACAGAAAATATAATTTTCATAACTTTTTGAATGTGCAATTATATTTTTCTCATTCTCGATTTAGTATATTTAAACGGTTTTGAATATTTTTTTCTAAGTATTATAATATTTTTACAAAACTTTCAGCAAAAATTAAAAGCTTTTAATTATAATTTACATCACATAATCTTGCATCTGGAGTTGGAATCCATTCTGTACGATTCATATTCTGGATCCATATTCTTTTTCTTTCCAAATCTTTTGGAAATTGACACATCTGATATCCTTTTATATTTGTATTAGTACAATAACCGGCACAGCAACTATTAGGCATTTTTTATTCACCTATTTTATTTGAAAAAAAATTATTTTTGAGGCTACATTGGAAATACGGCACATTATATAAATCACATAGCCTGAAATAAAATATATATACCTTATAATTTGCACAAGTGTTGACACTTTTATATATTTTTACTTTATAATCGATCAACCGAGGCTATTTTCTTTTTTTTTTCGTTGTATGCTTAATGTGCTTTCAATCAGTTTAGTCCAATGTTGATTATTTAGGCACGCTGTTTTCTTTCGACAGGTGACAGGTTAGGTCGGCTATATATATCTTTCTCTCTCACACTTCCGGTTATACCCCAAGGGAGCCAATCAGAAATCGTTAACACATTGTCGAATCTCTGTTATAGTATCTCTATGCTTAATTAAGTCTTACTAGTATGTTGCCAGATGGTCACAGCCAAAACTCCCCACAAGCAACGCCATTTCCCTCTAGATAAACAAAAACTTCAAGTGAGGTTTCAGGTCCAATGAATACTGTCGGCACTAAAAAAAAAGGGAAAAAAATTAATTTTAAATTGAACGTAATGTATTACAACATTTATTACAACTATTATATCTTATATCTTATACTGTAAGGGTCACCAAACTCAGTCAACTATGGCTGTATTTCAAAATTCACTGCCAACGCTGAAAATCTTCGTTTACATTAGGCGATTTTTGGCGTGCTTCTGGTATAGCAACCAAAAGCAACCGCGGTTGGGACTATCTTTGTCTTCTGATCTCTGAAAACGAAAATAGCCTCAACCGCGGTTGCTTTTGGTTGCTATACCAGAAACACTCCAAAATTCGCCCATTATGTAAACTATATATTTTTAGCACTGTCATTAAATTTTGGAACACAGTCTATATTTACACGTATAATAGAACTACGTTTATATGGATCAATTTACACCGAAGTTATAACATCGATGTTAGGAAACTGGTCAATCGCAGTCATTCCATTCTTCACAGTATCACGTCCGTAACATTTCCATTTTTGTCCAGTAATTATTTTTCCGAACAGACTACTTGCAGACCCGAATGCACGAACATCTCCAGAACGCACCTGACGCGTCTCTCCCACCACAAATAACTAGCAACGCGATAATGGAGGGGTTTTAGGAACGCTCTTGGACAAAATAAGAGTAGAGTAGTAGCGCGCGTCGAGCAGTGCAGACACGCTCCCTTTTCTTCCGACCGACCAGTCACTGTCCGCTGGTCTAGAACATCGCGCGCGAAGGAAAATCCGAATAAGTGTAACCCGCGGAACTTTTCCTATTTCCATTTTCTTCATTACAAATTTAACTCAAATTCTAGACTTAAGAAATTTTAAACCTAAGACTAAACTTTAGTTTTTCCTTTTATATACACATATATATTTTATTCTTAAGTATAACTCATAAGTTTAACATTGTCTTGAGTGAACTAATTAATAAATTCTTATTAACTGAATTCGAGTGAACTCTTTCGACGAAAATCCTTTTTAATCGCTCCTATACATCCAATTCGTGCTAGTGATAATTAACGAACTCAGACTATTGCACACACAAGTGTTACGTATTACGAGGACGAATCCGGCGCCTCAACCAGGACAACGAAAGGTCTGGGAGCCCACTCGCTAGCCAATCCGCGTGCCGCAGCCACCGACAATATTTATCGTAAAGTAAGTCATCACCTCACTACATCTCGGTTACCGCGACCGCGAATTCCGCCCCGCGTAGCATGTGCCCGTCTCATCCGCTCTCGCGTCCACCAATCGATATTCGCTTATTAGGAATCAGCCCGTATATACACAGCATGGATACGGAGCGCATGTTGCGTGTCTTCCTTGTTCTTTCGCCACACAGGAAATAGCGAGATTAAATGCCCCGAATGTTACTCTTCCTTGCCTGTTCCTGAAAAACGAGATTACTTAGGGGTACTACGGCATTACATTCATTTAGGCTTCCCCGAGAGATTCGAGACCTGCAGCGAATGTTCCGTATCGTTGGCCTCCGTACATAATTTTGCGAGTTGCCGCGACTGCCCCGAAATTCTAGAAAGGTTCCTCAACTATTTGGACAGAACTGGAGATACGCCCTGGACCTCTGGGGAATCGACCATCATCGCCGTGTCAAACACGCAACTTTAGTGAATTAAAAGTAAATCGAACATACTCTTTATTTCCGTAGACGCGAAACCGTATACTTCATACCCGCTAATAATCTCAGGTTTGTTCGGACCTCCTACAATCCGTCGGTCGAACCCTGGGATGTAACAACAGAAATAGCTATGATTGGCCAATTTCATAACATCGATGTTATAACTTCGGCGTAAATTGAGCCGCGTAAACGTAGTCATAGATCTCATTATTCCGCAAATGCTTCCAACACGCTTTCAACAAAATTCGAAGAGTACATATTTTCGGAATTAAATTTCGAATCATTTCTTTTGAAGGTTCGAAATTTATACATCCATCCGGAAGATTGTCCCTTAAATGTAAAATTGTTTCTGTGGTTTTTATGGACATTTTGTTTCTTAATTTATCTTTTACAATATTCATGATCGAGAACATTCTTTCAACGCTCTCATTAGAAAATGGTAAACTTAAAATAGCTAAAACTAATTTACAGTGTCAAGTCCGTAATAATTTCATTTTGTCCAGTAATCATTTTCAAACAGACTTGCTTGCAGACCCGAATGCACGGGTATCTCTAGAACGCACCTGACGCTTCTTCCCATCAACAGCAGCACGATTGGTGGAAGGGGACTTCGAAGACGACCATAGGTAAAAACCTAAGAGAGACCTCAGAGTAATAGTGCGCGTTGAGCAGTACAGTCACGTTCAAATCGTCGGCTCCTTCTATTCCGACCTACCGTTTCTAGTTTAAGCGCCACGTGCGAAATTCAATTCCTAAATCAAAAAGCATTAGTTCTTCTATTTTCCAATTCTAAAGGCGTTAACTCTTATCTCTAGATATAGAAACGTTAATTCTAATTGTTTAATCCTAGAAGTAATCAGTAATTAATACACTACTTGTAGCTAATGTATCGGTGTGAATCATTATAAAATATAATTAAATGTTAATATGGCTCAATTAGAATAAATCAATAAATAAAACAAGGGCAAACGAGCCAACTACAATATAAGATCTTTAATAAACGTATATATATACAATAATCAATCGTTTCGACACCGATCGGGTCATTTTCAATGTACAATAACAAAACATCTTACATACATAATCAGAAATTTAGTCAAAATATATTGTCCAGTGAGAATTTGGTTATATTCATAAAAAGCAGTCCATATTTAAAACTATTGAAGAGATCAAAACTCATTCTACCATCTCATATTGTCTCAATGATGTAATGTGGACAACGATAGGAACACTCAGTTAACAAAAATATATTTAAAAAAAGTTATGTATAATAAAAATTATTAAGCCATGATGCGCATGAATATAGCGTTTAGACTCAATCGACATCAAGCGACGT